ATATATATATTTCTTATGTTAAAGTCTTTGTGAGCAGATGGTTTCTCAGTTTAATCTTTGTTTAATCTTTGTTAAACTACCTCAACCTTGGAGATTCATCCTGTTGAGCCATAGCTCTTTTTTTGTAACAATAGAGAAGCTCAAACTTCCTTTTCTTTCAGGTGTACATTGTTTCTGTCCTTTTATAGACAGTAATGACAACAGAACTGTGACGATCATGAGTCAAGAGTTCCTCTTATGAAAGTGTCGTTCATTTCCTGTATTTAACAATCACAAAAGTTATACAAACTTAAAACAAAATGTATGGAAATTTGTGTTTGCTAGACTATTTGTTTGCTTCTTCTACCATTGGAGAACCTGTTCATTTCCCTTTCAAATAGTGTCACATTTGTAAGGAACATGCGTTTGTGAGATGAGCAGTAGAGCTGAGTATGTGGGTTGCGCACAATTAAAAAATAGCCCCATCTCCTCTGCTAAACAGCTTATTTTGCTGGTATTGATGCATGTTTTGAATTTCTGGTACCCTCAGGCGCTGCCAGTTATGTTCAGTTAGAAGAAGTACTGTTGCATGAGAGATAATCTACCAAATTTACTTTGTACCATACTTTTTGTGCTAAGTTTATWAGTTTTTTTAACATTTATTATTTCATTCTTTGTATTTATCAACACAAATGTTTTCTGAATAACAATTTTATTGCCACTGTTCCATTTGTCTGCGGCACCTTACTTTCATGAATCTATTGTAATTATTTTTTGCACGTCTTTATTTTAAAGTCAATTTTGATGATTGCCGTTAAGTATTTCAACAGATTTTTTTTGAGCTGAAAACAYTTGAATGTAAATCAATATTTTTGTGATAAAAGTGCTTTTATTTTTTACACTTGTGTATTGTCACTATTTTGTCGCGAGCTGTCAGATGATCATACGTAAAGACAGCAGTTTAGTTTAACTTTTAGTCTTCTTAAAAGTGAACGTGGGCTCGAGTCTTTCTGGTCCTTTAACAGTTGTTGGGGTGGGGGGTTTGAAAGAACAAACTAAACCCTACAGTGCAGGATTTCCTGTATGTGAATAACCACAACTTTATTTTAGCTCAGTATGATTGTGTGGTTGGAGGGGGAGGGGGTCTCTGTTGTACCAGGGGCTTTTAAACTATATTAAAGGTTCATCACTGATACAAACCCAGTGTGACTTATAGACCAGTTCTGTAGAAAAGCAGGACCACCTTAACTCAGATCACTCAGCTATGACAGAAAGTCTCTGGTTAAATTTACTCTAAAAACAGAAACTAGATCAAATTTTGTACAGGAAGCTTCTTATCTTCACGGCACAGCAATGGTGACTTCAGAGATAAATAACGTAACAGCACTGGGTGTAAACGGTTATTAGAAAGCAAGATTTCTTGGTATTTGAAGAGGAAATGAAACAGACACGCAAATGTAAGATATAAAGTAAAACTTTATCATGACATACAAGTTTAAAGCCCTGAGAACCATATCTTTATATTAACTAATATGAACAAAACTGAATGTGTGAAAACCACTTTGGAAAAGTGCTCCTCTTAAATACAATCAGCACAAACCAGTTTTTACAAGCATTCGTGTGTTTTGTCCCACTTTTTTCTTTTTTTGTTTGCTTTAATCAAAGAGAAAACTATAGTATCAATATCATTATTATCATGTTCATAATAATAGTACAAAAATATGCACAAACCCCACAGTTGAATTAATATACGGAGCATTGTACAAGCCAAAACAACATAAAATTGATAAATGAGGTATTCAATAACCACTTGCATATGAACCTGTTAAACACAGATCAGGGTTAGTTTTTTATTTTTAAACAATTTCAATTTTATTCCAAAAACCATCAAGAGACGAAAAGAATATCCTCGGACCTCCGACTTCACAGCTTCCTGAGTGATGAGGCGTCGCCCTGCGGTTTGTGACGACRTAACTAACCCGAAGAACGCAACACAAGAATCCAAGACGAGAGTTCAGTGATGTGACAGCAGCCTCTGTCGGTGATCGTCCCTCAACGCAGCTTCACCGTTAAACAACTCCACTGCAGCCCCCACTGCCCTGAGGTCAGGCTGTACCACACACACACACACACACACACACACACACACACACACTGCACTCTTCTGCACACAGCGAGTCCGTGAAGGGAGCAGAGGGGGTCTGCTGGCTCAGAGAAAACACAACAGAGAAGGAAAACGAACCGGCAACCCCTCAACACTTTCTCATCAGAGACCAACAAAGTGCTCCGACAGCAGAGGAGGACTGTGGCAGCTCCCGTTAAATAAACTGGAACTGTACAAATGTAGAAAAAAATAAAACGAAAGAATGAATGTAACTCGTTTAAATTCATCTTCACTCCTCATTTTAAAGAAAATAATGCAGCAGTGCCACCTGCAGCATCTTTATGATTATCACAACTATACTCACCATGTGAACACACACACACACACACACACACACAGGCAGTGAAGGCTGCATTATCCAACAGTCACTGCTAACTGCAGACTAAGCAGATGAAGTGAACAGCCTGGACGTAAAATAAGAATATATTTTTAGTTACACGGCCTAAACGATAAAGCTCATGTCACTAAAAACAAGAAACAAGTTATACCAGGACACAAATAAATATATATATTTATATATATAAAAACTGTTAACACGACAGCATGAGCGACAAACGGTGTGAGACGTCTGATGAAAACGCTGACTCCGCAAAAGCAAAAGTTTGAAACCTGCCCTCGCAGATTTTCACCAGCAGCTAGTTTAAGTCAGTATCTATGTTCCCCGCCTTATAGATGAGACAGTTTTTGTGTCCTGCAGGGATTCTGACCGACACGCTGACGTCCAAACGGCCCTCAACCCCCCCGCCCCCCGGCTGTGATCTGCACATCCTGACACTGAAACACAATTTATTAAAAGCTTCAAAGCTGCCCACCTATTCTCACAAGGCTGCCACACACTCTAACGCCTCACAATCATCACAGGTAAAGCTAGAAAATCCATTTAGCCATTTCATGATGTTTTAAATTGTTAGAAAAAGTTACTTAAATGAAAAAAAAAACATTTTAGAATGAGATCAAGTTTAATCCAGCTCTGTGTTTATCATCAGGAAGTGTTTGGATGGAAAGAACTACAATTAAGGATCAATGCCAACACTTTACTGAGGAGAACAACACCCTTTACTTTCCAGTAAGTGCAGCCAGGCCATAAAATGTGAAAAATTTGGATTTGTTACAGGTTTTAAGTGAAAAAAAAAGGTGATTTCATTCTGTTTTTGCGCAGAGACCTCTACCTGTCAGGTACCACACCGAGGACCCTCCTGGACTTGTCTTTGGTATCAAGCTGTGCAATAACCAGAGGATTAATGTGTTAAAACACTGGTCACATGATTGTACACATGCATACAATTTTAACCTGTCGTTAAAAGTTCATTTCTGTCTCTGCAATCAAATCTAAGGTTAACACATCCTTTCAACAATCCTGCATATCTGTACAACAACGAGGAGCCCACAGTTCTGCCCCTCTTCCCTGAAAAATATGCATATATCACTCCCCCCGCAGACAAAAAACCCCACCCTCCCCTCAAAGAGCAAGAAGCAAGCATGAAACAGGTCTACAAGTAAATACAGAGGAAGGAAAGCAACCCCCCCCC